GGACTGAGGAGAAGGGTAAATGGGGATTGACAGCTAATGGATATGGGATTCTCCTCTTAGGATTTTGGGCACGCATGCACACACACCGGGTGTGAGTTTTAAGCCACAGGGTCTGGGACTTGAACCATGGTTGACTACGTGGGAGTCCAGTGATGTAACCATTACACCATCTACTGGTTCCATCAATTTTTGAAACTTATTCATTTTCTTATTTTTTAGGCTTTTGCCATAGAGCCCATGCACTCCCCTGAGGAAGATAGAAAGAAACAGGCAGGAAAAGTGAAAAAAAAAATCATCCCCCCCACCGCCCCACGGGATGGCCACCTTGCAGTCTCCTTGCCTCCAGTTTCCTTTTGGGATTTTTGGCATGCATGCACAAATGCCCAGCATGAATTTCAAGCCAATAGATCTGGAACTTAAACTGCGGTTGGCCATATGGGAGTCCAGAGCCCTAATCACTACATCATCTGCTGTCCCCAAAGCAAAGTACTTTTAAGAACACATGATAGTTAAGAAAAGTTAAAACTTAACAATAGTTAAAAATGATTACCATTTTCATTAAAAGGTTTTTTTTTTTTTTGAGAAGTTTTCGCTATAGGGCGCGTGTGCTCGCCAGACAGACAGAGAGAGACATAGAGACAGAAAGCGAGAAATCACCCCCCAGAGGGGATGATCACGCCGCAATCCCTTCTCCTCCATTCTCCTCTCGGGATCTTGGGCACGCACGCACACGCGCCCGGCGTGAGTTTTAAGCCACTGGGTCCGGGACGCGAACCGCGGTCGACCACGTGAGAGTCCAGCGACATAGCCATTACGCTAACTGCTGGTTCCCAAAACTTTTTTTAAAATTTATTTTCTTTCTTTTTCTTTTTTTTTTTTAGAGGTTTTTTTCACTATAGGGCGTGTGCGCTCGCCAGACAGAGACAGATAGACAGAAAGCAAGAAATCACCCTCCCCCTGGGGGGTTTGCCACATCGCAATCCCCTCTCCTCCATTCTCCTCTCAGGATTTTGGGCACGTACATGCACACACACATGCCCATTGTGAGTTTAAGCCACCGGGTCCAGGACACAAACCGCGGTTGACTACATGGAAGTCCAGCGACATAGCCATTATGCTAACTGCTGGTTCCCAAAAGTTTATTTTATTTCTTTAATGAGCAAGAGAGACAAAGATATAGAGAGATAGTAAAAGAGAGAGAGAGAGAGCACTCTGTGGAGTCTTGACCTTGTGATCCACTTCTAGTCTCAGCTAACCCAGAAACATGATGCACACACTTGATATATTCGGGGAGGTCTTTAGATGTGAACTTGAAAGCCTCTTATGTGGGTTAGCCTTGCAGAGTCCTCAGTTTCACCATTGTGCCACTATCTAGACCCTGCCTCACCTTTTCAAAGATTCTTTCTTCCAAGAGTGCTTGGGACAGAGACAAAGAGAGAGAGAGGCAGGTACCTCCAACAAAGACCTTAGGTTGTAATCTGTGCACAGCTTCAGCCAGCTTGGATCATGAGCATACACATGACAGTTGTATTTAGGGAAGTTTCCAAGCATTACCCAGAACCTTCTCAAGTGGGCCAGCCTCACAGTGTTGCATTACTGTGGTGCCACCATCTGGACCCCATGTTGAGCCATTACTAATGTCCTGCTAAATGTTGCAGCTCAATCTTAGCTGATTTGTGATGATTTATGGATAGGTCTATGTCCATAGGTCTATGAACACCTTGGGGAGTGCAGCCAGTTGGAAGAGTCTGTTATCAGGTGGAAAGGTACACTCTGGAAAAGGAAAGCAGCTGTCTGGGACAGGATCAGCAGCAGACATGCCTTCTAAACAGGGCTATGTTCATGGACCAATGTACACATTCCCTCAATTCATAGAAATAGTGGGGAAGAGAACCTTGGAAGGGCATGGACTTTTTGATGACAAGAGGAATTGGGTTTGAAGTCTGGAATGGCCATGTTTCATTATGCGGATATACAAAGATGTAGATAAGTTATCACATTTGCTAGTTAAATATTAATTTTCATCTTTGTTGATATGTGTTTCAATTCATAGGCATGGGAAGCTCTCAAATTCCAAGCTCTGGAATGCTGTTTGAGATTCTTATGACTGGTGTCAGTTTGAGAATGAGCCTCTGGGATGACATTCTTGGCACAGGAAAGTTGAGAGCACATGTAACCATCAAGAAACCTGCTCATCAGGCAGAGATTATGGTAGTTAGAGAAGACTTCCTGGTGGAGATGACTCTTGAACTGAGTTGTGAAGGACAAATCAGAATAGCCATATGGAGAGTGTAGGATGAAGATAAGGAAATGGTGACAGCACGAATAGAATACAGATAGCACAAATTGAAAAGGAAAGAAAACAGAGTGATGAAGGAAAGAAGACAGAAGGGATGGGGTCTAAAAACCAGATGGAAACAAGGCTGCATTCCCAGTAAACAAAATGGTCAGGAATGAATTTACCTGTAACTAAAAGCAAGAGGATGGAGGAAGTTCAAATTTGTGACTACTTTGTTTGTTCTCTCCCCCTTCCTTCTGCTGGGATAAGAGCCAGGGGTACAAGGAATTGTGTGTCCACACATGTGCTTGTGTTGGAAGGGTTAGATGGAAGATGGGTAACAAAATATTTACCTTCCACTTAAGTTTTTTGGAATCCAAGATGAGGTTAGTGGAATTCTGGTGTGGACTTGCGGGTATTAGTTCAAAAAGGCAAGGAGGAGGCTAGCAGGTGGCATGGAGGTTAAGGTGTTGGATCCCACATGGCCAACTGAATCAAGCTGAGCACCTGTGCTTTCATGATCAAAATCCCAAGAGGGGAATGGAGAAGGGATTGTGGCAGGCCATTTCCCTGGGGAGTGGTTTCTCACCCTCCTTCTGGTAAGCATATGCACTCTGCAGCAAAATGTTAAAAAAAAAAAAAAAAAAAAAAGGCCAAGGAGGTATTTTTTCTTTCATTTTTTTCTTATTTAAAGGTCTGCTTTTTTTTTTTTTTTTTTTTTTCAGAAAGACAGAAAGTGAGAAATCACCCCCGAGGGGGGATGGCCACATCACAATCCTTTCTCCTCCATTCTCTTCTTGGGATCCTGGGCACTCATGCACATGCACCCGGTGTGAGTTTAAGCCACCAGGTTTGGGACTCAAATCGTGGTCGACTACATGGGAGTTCAGCGACATAGCCATTACGCTAACTGCTGGTCCCTAAAAGTAGAACCTTCTCAAGTGGGCCAGCCTCACAGTGTTGCATTACTGTGGTGCCACCATCTGGACCCCATGTTGAGCCATTACTAATGTCCTGCTAAATGTTGCAGCTCAATCTTAGCTGATTTGTGATGATTTATGGATAGGTCTATGTCCATAGGTCTATGAACACCTTGGGGAGTGCAGCCAGTTGGAAGAGTCTGTTATCAGGTGGAAAGGTACACTCTGGAAAAGGAAAGCAGCTGTCTGGGACAGGATCAGCAGCAGACATGCCTTCTAAACAGGGCTATGTTCATGGACCAATGTACACATTCCCTCAATTCATAGAAATAGTGGGGAAGAGAACCTTGGAAGGGCATGGACTTTTTGATGACAAGAGGAATTGGGTTTGAAGTCTGGAATGGCCATGTTTCATTATGCGGATATACAAAGATGTAGATAAGTTATCACATTTGCTAGTTAAATATTAATTTTCATCTTTGTTGATATGTGTTTCAATTCATAGGCATGGGAAGCTCTCAAATTCCAAGCTCTGGAATGCTGTTTGAGATTCTTATGACTGGTGTCAGTTTGAGAATGAGCCTCTGGGATGACATTCTTGGCACAGGAAAGTTGAGAGCACATGTAACCATCAAGAAACCTGCTCATCAGGCAGAGATTATGGTAGTTAGAGAAGACTTCCTGGTGGAGATGACTCTTGAACTGAGTTGTGAAGGACAAATCAGAATAGCCATATGGAGAGTGTAGGATGAAGATAAGGAAATGGTGACAGCACGAATAGAATACAGATAGCACAAATTGAAAAGGAAAGAAAACAGAGTGATGAAGGAAAGAAGACAGAAGGGATGGGGTCTAAAAACCAGATGGAAACAAGGCTGCATTCCCAGTAAACAAAATGGTCAGGAATGAATTTACCTGTAACTAAAAGCAAGAGGATGGAGGAAGTTCAAATTTGTGACTACTTTGTTTGTTCTCTCCCCCTTCCTTCTGCTGGGATAAGAGCCAGGGGTACAAGGAATTGTGTGTCCACACATGTGCTTGTGTTGGAAGGGTTAGATGGAAGATGGGTAACAAAATATTTACCTTCCACTTAAGTTTTTTGGAATCCAAGATGAGGTTAGTGGAATTCTGGTGTGGACTTGCGGGTATTAGTTCAAAAAGGCAAGGAGGAGGCTAGCAGGTGGCATGGAGGTTAAGGTGTTGGATCCCACATGGCCAACTGAATCAAGCTGAGCACCTGTGCTTTCATGATCAAAATCCCAAGAGGGGAATGGAGAAGGGATTGTGGCAGGCCATTTCCCTGGGGAGTGGTTTCTCACCCTCCTTCTGGTAAGCATATGCACTCTGCAGCAAAATGTTAAAAAAAAAAAAAAAAAAAAAAAAAAAACCAGAGGGT